TTACATGGGAGAACATCAGTTTTACATTCATCCTATCATATTTCTTTTCATTGAAATGATCACAATCCCCTCCATTCATCATCAAATAACCAATGGATACACCCCACAGACCCACCACTCCTGGTCATCAGCGCAGAGCCCCTCTCCCTCCCTGAGTCCCGTGTCCCCAGCCACTCCATCTGTTCATGTCATCGTTTCTGTCTCCATCCCTGGTGTCACTGCTTCTCTGGGTAGGGTCCCGCTCTCCAGTCTTCTCACTTGAAGGTCCCAGGGACCTCTACTCCTGGGCTGCAAAATCAATCACTCTCCTCCTTTTATAAAAAACAAAAAACAAAAAACAAAAACATCTACCTCTATATTTCTGACCCTCACAGTCAGTCCTGGTGAAAATTATTCACTATTGTATCACAAGAGTCTTATCCCAATTTCCTTTCACCAGCCTGGTCCCAACAGATTGGAAATCATTCAGTGGAGGTTCTACCTACTCCTGCTCCATTTGGGACTAGGCTCCCTCTTGGAAGCTTGTAAACCAGGCACTTCTTGCCTTTATAGCCCTCCACCCCCCCACAACCATTTTGGTTAGCCAATGTCTAAGTTGCCCATCCCTGTCAACCCTGTGTACTAAGGGGGAGTGGAGGGGTGGGAGTGATCCTTGCTATAAAGATTTGTTCCATTTTTTGAGCTACTAAATCCATATGTATAGGTAAAGTTCATCAAATTGTAGTGGGTTACTCTTTTTTTCTTCTTCCCTCTTCTTTCTTCTTCTAGTCAAGTTCTGATCATCCAGCCATCAAAGCCAGGTTAAGTGGGTATTATCTGCAAGTATGGGTGTTCTTGTGAATCTCTCCTTACTTCATATCCACTGGACACTTCACTCTCCACTCCAGTCCTCAGTGGCCACATCACTGCTCTGAGCCCAGATGTCCCTGGATCATGCCATAACTGCTGGCCATCCAAGTTTCCACCCGGGTTCACAGGAGTCTATTGAATTTGGTCGGACTTAGATCCTATCTTCATTCTATGCCTTTGCATAGTCAATAAAACACAGATAAACATCTGTCTACTATCCTCTGCTTATAGCCAAGATCCATTGGACATCAGCAATGATATCCTCGTTCCACATCCTTTTCTGAATCTGGCATGAACATCTGGAAGTTCTCTGTCAGTGTATGTTTTCAGCTGTTTCTGTATTACATTTATTAAAACTTTACTCTCATGGGTTACCAAAGATGTTGTCCAATGATTTCCGCATTACTTTGGAATGGGCACAAATACGGATCTTTTCCAATCAGTTGGACAGATAGTTGTCTTCCAAATTTCTTGGCATAGATGAATGAGTGCCTCCAGTGCCATCTCACTTTTTTTGAAATACTTCAGTTGTTATTCCACCAATTCCTGGTGCTTTGTCCTTTGCCAATTCCTTTAGTTAACCTTGACTTTCTTCCTTCAGTACCATTGGCTCTGGATCATATTGAAATGATTGAACATCAACCATTTCCTTTTGGTACAGTGATTCTGTGTGTTCCTTCCATCTTATTTTGATGCTTTTTGCATCACTTAATACTTTGCCCATTATTAATACTTCAATAATGCACATCAAGTCTTGAGTTTCTTCTTCAGTTCCCCCAGCTTGAGAAATGCTGAGTGTGTTCTTTCCTTTTGGTTTTCTGACTCCAGATCTTTGCACATTTCATTGTAATATTTGACTTTGTCTTCTCAAGCTGAACTTTGATATTTTCTGTTCAGCTCTTGTACCTCATTTCTTCCATTTGCTTTAGCATCTTTACACTCAAGAGCAAATTTCAGTGTCTTTTTTGACATCCATTTTGGTCATTTCCTTCTTTCTTGTCTTCTCAACAAATTATTGTGGGTATGTTTAAATCAGTGAACTTGAAGTTAATAATTCAATGCCTAACTCACAGAGTAACCAGGCATCTTTTGAACAAGTGAACAAGAACAGCACCCCTTAAATGCTTTCAGTTACCTCTCCTTCTCAAACGTAAGTACTGTTGTGCTGTTGTGGTTACTTAGTGTATTATTATAGCAAACTTTTAAAAAAATTTTTATTGTGAATTGAGTGATAGTTTACATGGGAGACCATTGGGTTTACACTCATCATTTCTTTGCAATTATTACAATCTTGTCCATTCATCATCATTCAACAGTATTTGTTTCTGTTCCCTCTGTTTGTTTGTTTGTTAGTTTGTTTTTGTGGAGGGATATACACAAAAACACTCAGGAATATATAATAATTTGAACAACCAATGGACACATTCTGCAAGCCTTCTTCTGGCCACCAACACCTTGCTGTCAGCACTCAGCCTTTCTCTTTCTTGAGTCTTGAGTCCTTAGCTGTTCTATTTCTCCATGTCCTCATCTCTGTGCCCATCTCTGATGTCGCTGCTTCTCTGGGTAGGGTTCAACATTCTGCTTGTGCTCTTCTCCCCTGATAATCTTAGTGTCCTCTGTTCCTGGACTGTAAGAGTAAATACTTCCCTCTTTTTATTACAAAACTTCTACCTTTACCGTTGTGACAGTCACAATTAGTCATGATAAGAGTTACTCACTATTGAATCATAAGAATCTTATCACCATCTCTTTTCACCAGATCCAACTAGACAAGATGAATTCTATT